ATGGACGCAGGCAACTATTTAGTTGCGGACACCATGCATGAAGCACACACAGAGGCAAAAACGGAAAATAAATGGTTTATAAATAACGATTTGGGCTGGTCGTGAGCGCAGACACAGACAGGCAGGGAAACGATGCACGCGGAATGCCTTCAAAATGTCGCTTGAATAACTCAAGATAATGATGCGCCATTGTGGGATATCCTTTACAGAGACCTTGGTCACAACATCACTGAAACAGTCCTGCAACCTCTATTTTCCCGATGTTTGGCCCCCGGAGCTCCACTCGGCGCTCCGTTTAGGTCGCTCGCCTCTGGATGCCTGCCGTCTTCTGACATCATCGCAAGCACGTGGTTCGATTTCACAAGACTGTCATCGGAGTGCTATCTACGGGGCAGCACTACCACCGAGAAGTAATGCGAAGCGCTGATACTGTTGATGGCAACATCCCCATCTGATAACGTCCGATGCGCTGGCGACGCGCTATAATCCAGATGGATAATGATGCGACGGCCAGTCGCTCGCGCAGTTCATCAGCCGTGGTATGTGCACGAGTGAGCGTTGCGGCCGCTCATCAAGGTGCAGGCGCAGGAATAAAACGCAAAGGAATGGTAAAGATGGTGGCAACAGCCGTGCAGATGCTTTGGGGAGCTATCCCATGCCCTTAGAAGCTACCACGCAAAACGTTTGGTGTGCTTTTTCACAAATGTCCAACGCCGAGGTAGACTTACAATGAGCGGCAACCATCGTCATTGGCGAAACAACCATCGCCCATGATAAAACAACGGTCGTCCAAGATAAACAAACGGGCCAATCAAGCGCTGGAGGGAGTTCGGGAGCGAGAGCCACGCGGGGATCTCCATATGGTAATTAATGCAAGTCCAAACCAGCGCACTTTGCATGTCCCTTTACAACACAGAAGCCCAACGCTCCTCACGCCACCGTGAATTTACGACTGAGAGAAACCAGCTCGTCGGGTTCATTATCCCCAGATAAATCGCTGTAGCCCTGCCACAGGCGAGGCACGGGTGGCAGGCGCTGGTGGCCCGCCGCCAGTCGTTCCGAGCCGCAGGCAAGGGATGACGATGGCCAGACAGGCAGGACGGGCTGGATAACCACCAGCATCAACGGCAGGACGGGCTGGATAACCACCAGCGTCAACGGCAGGACGGGATGGAGAACCACCAACGTCAACGGCAGGACGGGTGGCAGTGATGGGAGTCAAGGGATGACCACCGCTAGCTACCGCAGGGCCGGACGAGGAGACCACCACCGACAGCGGCAGAATGGTAGCTGACTGCTGCTCGCGACAGTGGCTGAGCAGGAAGGAAAACTGACATAGATAATGACCGCGCATAACACAAACTCCACAGTAGCCAAACGCGTAGGAAGGCCATCGAAGTAAAAAAGACAGGTGAGAAGGCCACCCAAGGCGGTGTCAGGACGGGTGGGCAGAACGTCACCCCCGTTGGCGATGTCAGGAACAGCACCAACGAGAATGCCGCCAGCTCCACCGACGCGACGCAACGCAGGAAGACTGCCACCGTCTATCAGCAGGGCGCGGTCGCCGCAGCCGCCGCGCCAGGCCTGTGGTCGGCACCCTCCCCTCTCCCCGCGCTCACCGTGGAGCGTCGCCTCCGGCGGCGGGCGCTCGGCCTTCCGGCCGCGCCGTCGGCGTCGGTCGCCGGGCCGCTTGGACGCGGTGCCGCGGTCCGCGCCTGTCACCGTCACCTGGCGACACCCACAGGGGCACTTAGCGAGCAGGGGCGGCCGGCCCGCGCCGCTCGGCGCGCAATGGGCGCCGCCGCCCGCCAGATACGGACTCCATGCGACGCCGCTGGGTTATTTATCAAGTTAGCGGCGGGGCCGATCGATGCCGGGCAATGATAGGCGCGCAGGCCGACACGGCCGTCTCTCCGCAACGGAGGTCGATGGACGGCAGTCGGCCTGGCGGCCAGATCGCATCAGTCCGGGTCGGGCGCGAGTCGGGTCAGTCATCGGAGTCAGGTGCATCACGAAATACAACAGGCTGTCCCGTCCGTCTCGTCCGACACCTGGCGTCATTTGTAACTCGTTCGGTGTGGACATATCGGTCGGCGACTGCTCTTCGTCGACTCGCTCCCCATTCGTCCATGATGCAAAACTCGAAACCTCTGGGCCCAGCGCACTCAGCCACTGTCAGCCGTTATGCTCACAAGGTACGATTAACGAAAGCTGCACGTTGTATAGTCTCGCGTGATGTAACTGTGTGGTGCTGGTGGAGGTCATCACAGAGGGGCCCCCGCGTTGCGTGGAGGATCAGAGGGTGAGCGGTGCGCCGTCACGTGGCAGAGGAAGGAAACCCCAGAGGCCCTGGTTTACACTCCGCCACCGCGGTGGCAGCAGCGATGACGGCTTGTTGATACTCCGACGCCCTGACGTAGCTAGGTCTGGCCCATGTCCCGCAAGGCTTACTTTGCCCACGGCGCGAATTCTTGAACAAGACCAAAGCCCTGATTCGAAAAAACACGGCGCGAGCAATACGAAGGCACGGGGTGAGGGGGGTACCTCCGTCCTGACCCAGTGGGAGGTGCATTCTGATTGTCACGCGTAGCTCTGCACTTGAGCGGGCCCCGTCACTGCCCACGGCACCTAGAGCCGCACAGCTCTCTGAGCCTGACCACTCCCGTGCGCGGCGGTGAGAGTAGTGGTGAGGCGGTGAGAGTGGTGGTGAGGCGGTAAGACGCGACGACGTAACATGGAGACGACAGGGAGAGACGGTGCGAGACTGAGACGGAGGGAGGTTTTGCGGTGACAACGGGCAGCGAGGCGGGGAGACACATCAAGGTGTCCGAGTGGTCGAGACGTTGAGAAGCAGCGAGCGGCGAGACGGTCAGCGGACGTCGGGCGCCGCCGTGCCGCCGAGGACGGACCCCGAGTCCGGCGACGGCGGCGGGGGCCCGCCCCTACCGCGTAGGACGGCCGGCGGCCCCACGCGGCCGCCGTAACCCAGCCGCACGCAGCCATGACGCGGTCGTAAAGCAGCCGTGGCGCGGCCGCGAACGCCGCGGCTGCCGCTGCTGCAGGGCGGCCGGCCGCCGACCCGTGCTGGAGTGCGGACGTCTGACAGGCTGCCCCCTGGCCGGGCCGCAGCCGAGGTCGGGTCTTCTGTGCGACAGTACAGGTCGGCAGCGGACGGTCGGGTGAGCAGCACGACCCTCACCCTCACCCCCCCCTCCCCGCCCCCCCCCCCCCCGATGAGAGGGCGCAGAGTTCTCAGGTCCTATGCGACAGCGCGGTGCCCTCTTCGCATGAGTGGGACTGGGCTGATGAGACGTCACGCGCAGGAGACTCGTGCTAAATTGTTTGTCCTTGCCGAGGCGGCTGCAGCTTGCGGCGCAGACAGAAGAGCCGCGCAGTCTTCCAGATCTAGACAAGGTGTGATTTGCAAATAAATGACGGCGAAAGGATGTGGTGCAAATGCTGTGGGTAGATGTCACAATGATCCAATAAACCACTCTCAGGTGGGCACGACTTCTTCAATTTAATTTGCATAACGAGACATTCACGGTCAAATCGTCGTGATCAAAGCCCGTGGTCATCAACACTTGTCAGCCTGTGCTGGCCAACAGGGTGCTTCACATGAGCCGTAATTAATTGTGAGGCCGTTCAGAAGCAGAAGACCTCACACGGCGGTACTACATTTTACGGACAGGTCGGAGGCAGGGACGGACTGTATACATCTCCAGCGTCCATTTAATAGCGTAATTGGGCCAAATAAACGTCACGGGGACCATACAGTTACCAGCAGGCGACGGGACCTATAAAACCAATGTTCTACTCTGTGGGCAGCCAAGACATTCACGAGTCTGTGTATCACCCCACACTTGATAGGCTTCGTTTCTTGAACGTAACCCACGCGCCAAGAACGTTCTTCGGTTCCTCTTCAATGACGCCCTCTTGACGTCGCAGCATGCATCTTGCACACATCGTGCACACTTTGCACACTTGCAGTATGTATCTTGTACTCAGCACACGGCCGTGGGCAGGCGCACCTGGACCTGGACCAGATGTGCGGCCGAGAAGCACCCCGCACTCAAGCCAGGCACGCTACGTCGCGTTCCCGGCGCTGAGTAAACCCCCGAGTGCGCCGAACCGACCGGAACCGGCACGTTTCCGGCGATACTGAAGCGCACCACCGCCAGCACGGGCTGAGCGAGGCCCGACGGGTCCCGGCACGGAGCGACGCCCCGGAGCGCGGGCTGAGTGAGGCCCGACGGGTCCCGGCACGGAGCGACGCCCCGGAGCGCGGCGTGGGGACTGCGGCGTCTCCGGCCGATGGATGTCGGAGGCACAGCGCAAGGGCAGAGGCGGGTCTGGGGGTCGACTCCGGTCACCGTCCGAGCACATCAGCGACCTAGACCGCCTGCGACACAGGCGAGAGGCGTCCTTTTCTGTTCCTCTCCCCGCCACTTCTGATCACTGATCCACTTGGGTGCGTGACACGACCATCTACGGCGACAGGTGCTGCGGCGCGGCGCCGGCTGCATAATGCAGGGACTGGATCTCCGATCTGGTCCATCTGGAACACCACCCAACCGGCTACCGTTCGGAGGCGGCCTCGCCAAACTGACGTCCCACTGAGCTCGGCAGCCGCGGGACTCCGTCTAAACCCCCTGATTCTTTGCTCACCTTTGAAAAGCCACAGGTTTGACAAAGACCAGGAGGCTAAAAGGAGCCCCATTCGGGCGGCGTTGGGGCTGCGGGCGCGTCTCCACTGACGCCGTGTGGGCGGGCCCGCCGCTGTCGCGACCTGCGCCTTCCGACCGGCGCTGTCAGACGCCCGGCGAGCGGCGCCGCCTCTCCGGCCCGCGGTACTTCTCCGATGACGTCACACCGCGCTCCGACACACCTGAAGCTTTGCTCACCTTGTACCGAAATGACAGGTGGAGCAAAAGTCCAGGCCCGCCGGCGCCGGGTGAGCTGTGTCTATTGGGCCCTTCGCCTGGTTTCCATCCCGACAGGAATGGGCTCACGGCTCACGCCCGGTGCTGAACCTGGTGGGCAGTGCCATGACCTGGCAGGTGCCGATCCTGCGCAACCGGCCGCGACTGGCCTATCCTGGGCAGTGACGCGACCGCGCCACAGCTGTCGACGACGCCCCACGTGGCGGCAGGGAGACCGCGCAGCAGCAGGCAGTGGTCCAATGGCAGACGTGCGGGCGGGGGACCGCGCAGCAGCAGGCAGTGGTCCAGTGGCAGACGTGCGGGCGGGGGACCACGCAGCAGCAGGCAGTGGTCCAGCGGCAGACGTCCGCCCAGCCGTGCGTCCGTGGCGGGGGACCGCGCAGCAGCAGGCAGTGGTCCAGTGGCAGACGTCCGCCCAGCCGTGCGTCCGTGGCGGGGGGGCCGCGTAGCAGCAGGCAGTGGTCCAGTGGCAGACGTCCGCCCAGCCATACATCCGCGCTGAGCTCTACGACGCTGCACCGGTGCTGCCGAGGAAGACGGCCCGACGCCGCCGGAGTGGGCTGCTGACGGTTGGGCCAGCCACCGTAATGGCCCCGGACACCACATCGATTCCCGCCGGCGCCATTTCTAGATTAGTCACGTGGCCCGCGGCCGGTGGCTCCGGGCGCGTGTCGCCCGTCCGACGTCTGTCGATGGCGAGTGGCTGCCTGTTTTTCTCCATCGCGGGCCATCGGTGGGCAGTCAGATGTTCCGCAGAGTCGCCAGGCTCGCCGCACTCCCTCTCATGGCGTGAAATAAGCGCTAAAATGATTTCGTCATCTGCAGCCATCAGACTGATAGGAGCTCAAACGGAATAAATACACATTTTCATCAGTTCGACTGCATCGCGACGCAACACGCCGGTGGCGTCCTGAAGCCCGGCGCACACCTATATCTACAGCGGATACAGCGGTACGCCGTCCGAGGGCCCGCCGGAAGCGGAGGCTTCCCGCTTCCGGCGAGCGGCTGAGGCGGCGCCGTCAGCTGACCCGTGGCTTCCGTGGTCGCAGCTCACCCCCCACCACCCCTGCCAGTGACTTCATCGCCTGCCGCCGCTACTCGGTACCAGCTCCCCCAGTGTCCGCGGTCATCACCGGGCGGGATCACAGACGACAGCAGAGTCATCGGCTGATCGGATGCGTCACGCGGTGAGAGCGGTCAGCACGGGTCGCGGCACCGCCTGCCGCGGCGCCGCCCCGCCGGTCAGCGCAGACCGCGGTGCCGTCCTGCCGGCCTCCGGCGGAACGCAGCGCCACCGCCCGGCCGCCCGATAAGCTCGACTTAATTGAATCGTCGCCTCCCCAGCCAATGTTAAAATTTGATTTGTGAGGTAGTTTGAGAGCAGCTCCCGCAATCTCTCCCACAGAGAGCCGGATGGGGCCGAGCCAGGCCGAGCCGGCGGCCGATGGATGGCAGATGAAGAGATGATGGCGGGACGGCATCGGAGCGCGCGCGCCCCACACGGCTCACACACGCCTTTGCTCACCGGTTTTTCGTGGGGATAGGACGGACGGAATAAATGGACGAGGAGACCATTCCCTAAACATACTCACAACACCTTATGGGGTACGAATGTTTTATCACAGAGAATGCGCAGGTATACTGATTGAACTCACATCATCCGCCTGCCTGTGTCAACTTCCCATTTTCGTTCCGTTTAAGCGAACCTCTCCTTCTCGCCGCATCGCTTCCCGCCGCCGCACGGCTCCCGTACCAAGCGCAGATAAAGCGCCCGGGGTTAGGAGCACGACCGGCGACGCCCAAATGAGCTGCTGAGCTTCAATCAACGCCACCGCGGAAATCCGTTCTGATGCGCGACAAAAAACTGGCCGGGCGCAGCCCGCCTCATCTGGTGCCACGGCCGATACCCGCACAAAAACCCGAAAGGCGTGTTATAGATTATTGGAGCCAGATTTAGATGGCGTGCGCAGATTTCCCGCGGGAGCGAGCGCAGCTCATAACAAGGCCGGGCGCCTCTGATCAACTTGAGGCGGATGAATACAAATCAGGTGTTCTCGCCAGGGATTTCTTTTATCTATTGCAGCGCGCGGCCCTTCAGCCCTTTCCGGCTTGCGGCCGGAAAGGTGTCCAGTCGACGGATATAGAGGAGGTAAGAGCGCTTGGCCGGCCCGATGAATATTTCATATGCAGTCTGACGGGATGCAGATATGACGGGACCAATTCTTTTGCCAGCCAACGCACGTAAAACAAATCGACTGGAGAATTCAATCGCCAACAGCGATATACCAGCGAGGGTGGTGCGAGGTGCGACCTCAGGTCAGGACAGTCCTCACAAATATACCGGCGAGGGTGGTGCGAGGTGCGACCTCAGGTCGGGACAGTATTCACAAATATACCGGCGATGGTGGTGCGAGGTGCGACCTCAGGTCAGGACGGTCTTCACAAATCGATGGAAGAATTGCTTTGCTGCCTATCCGACAACACAGTATGGCGCCATTTCTGTTCAGAACGACATATGATAATGGTAAACTAAAGCACTTATGCTGTCTTTGGGCCATAGCCCTTTTCTCCACCCGCCGTTCGCCGGCTATGCCTGAAGCAGGAAGGCTGTCTGATGCATCTACACGGTTGTGGGTAGTCGCTGCCGTGATATTCCCGGCTAATGTCAGTCACGTGCGTTGCCGACGTTTACCACTTCGGGCGCGTTTATAGCAGTGTTTTCCATATTTCCGCGAGGCATACGGACAGAGTCGCCATTACTCGAAAGGTGGTGCATTAGTCTAATTAAAATCACGTGTGGTTTCCTTCCGGACAGTTTTGAGTCCGTCTTTTTCCCGGTGTCTCGCACTACGTCGCCATTAAATGCCTCCGAAACAGAACATTAACACAGATATCCAATCCAAACCTGACCTGACATCTGGCAGTCCGTGCCAGCCACCGCCTCTTAAAAGACTAGCGCAGAAAGCAATCGAGTGGCTCGCATTTCCTAGCCCACGGCGCCGTTCACTGGCTCAGCCAACCGGCGCCGATCCGTGGACCAGCGCCCAGCGCCGATTCCTGCCGGCCGCCGGCGCTGTGCCGATCCGTGGGTCAGCGCCCAGCGCCGACTCCTGCCGGCCGCCGGCGCTGTGCCGATCCGTGGATCAGCGCCCAGCACAGATTCCTGCCGGCCGCCGGCGCTGTGCCGATCCGGGCGGCACGTGCAGCGGAGCACGCCGCGTCGCCGGCGCCCATAAACAGCCCGCTAAAGCGCCGCCAACGTCAGCAGAGCCGCCCAGCCGCCAGGTCACGTGACGCGCCCGCTGGCGCACGGGCGGGGTCACGTGGAGCCGCGCCGGGGCCGGGGCCGACGGCGGGCTGGGAATGCGAGGTCATGACGGCAGGGGAGAGGACATGTGGCTCGTCTTTGCGTGCCTCTTCTTGGAGTCGCCCACGGCGATGTCTCCACGGCCGAATAGAGCAAGAGAGGCTTTATTTAACTCAAGTGCACGGCCCACGCCAGCGAGCATGTTAGCTCCCAAATAGTTCGGCATAACCTGAATACAATTAAACTGAGTTGGCAAACCCCGCTGGCTTTTGATAGACTAATAGATGCGTATTTAGGAGCTCCACAAAGTGGCTTTCCTAGCTTACACGGCAATGTGCATGCAACAATTACAAAACATAAAACGGTCAACGCGGATGAATGCCGTACACCACAAAACAACTTTGTTTATCTTTTTCACAAAAAGGTCAATATTGTCCTCAAGGTTGTGTTACTCGCGACCGCTGACACCGACCCGTCTGCAGGTAGCACGTTCCACTCGCTAGATGTGCGAAACGTGAACGGGCAGCGTCCAAGCTCAGTGCGGACACGCGGCAGCTGCAGCTGCTTGACGGCCGTTGCTAGAGGGACACCGGCCGACGCGTCAGAGCCGCTATCGCAGCATCTCCGGTGCGCAGGTGGCTGTGAGGATATTACGCATGACTATTATATCGCACTCTCTTATGAGTTCGTCGACATTGAGCCATTCTAGTTCACGCAGCGTAGCTGTCACTCGGTTTGGGCGCATGGTATTGCATGCGATACAGGAGCCAAAGTTCATAACTTTTTGCACTCGTCGCTTCTGTATCACGTTGCCACTTCCCCATACCGACAAGCAGTACATGAAGGAAAACAACTGCCTCGATCAGGAGCTGTTAGTTTCTTTGGGAAGACATCGTCGCACACCAGGGAGTCCAATGAGAATGCCATAACAGCGGTATGCTGCAATGGATGTGTCCTTCCCATTAGAGACAAGAACCAAGCGGTGACACCCATAATTTTGACTCTCTGTGAGTGTTTGATTCCACTGTTTCCAAATGCGAGGGAAAACTGACGGCAGGTGTTTGGCCCGCGGGACTTAATTCAGACCAGTGCGGTCTTGAGGATCTTATTTTCGAACAGGTGGCACAACCTACCCCCAAAGAATGACGCCCAAAGGGGTGTTTGTCCCCAACGAATGACGCCACGGGGGCGAAAGACGAACCATCCCACAAACAGACGCATGGGGCGTGGGACCCTGTCTCGGGAAGAGGGCAGCGCGGCGGTCGGCCGGGATCAGAGCTGGCCGGGCTGGTGGCCCAGAACTGCGACTGGTCGAGGCCAGGTCAACTGGGGCTGGGCGGGCGGCAGTGGGCCTCGCTAGCCGGCCGATTCACATGCAAATACACCCCTCTCCCCTCCCCGCCACCCCGATCTGCAGGCGGCGCGTCCTGCCGCCTGCAGTCTGCAAAAGGCTGGCACATTTACATTTGCATTCAGTGCATTCACAGAAAGGCGGCGCGCGGGCCGGCCGTTTGGACTGAGAAATGAATGTCACGTCCGACTCGAGATCGCAATCATCGATCGTGATTAGAGGAAGGGGCTGGGCGCAGTTCGACCTTGTTTGGATGTCAATGGCACTGTCCTACGTCAATGGCAAATCTGGCTATCTAGTTCATCGGCGCCTGCTTGTATTTGAAGAAGTTAGCTTTTCGCCTGGAATGATATCCACGTGTGCTAGTGTCAGCCAGTACCAATGGTACTGGCACTGGCTGTTCCATTTTGGTTATTTGAATGTTGGGGAACGGTAATGAGCGTTTGAGCGCTACAGAACCCGCTGGCCTGAAAACGACTGGTAAGTGATGCTCAGCATTGACGCAGC